ACCGGGACCCGCTGGTCCATCGGGCCTTTGGGACACAGTCGGTGGACGACAGCTGCCCTTTCCAAGGGCCCCAGAACCCTGAAGCAGAGGGTGCACCTAAGGGAGCGAGAGGAGGGGGCAGTAACAGGCCTCCCACTCCCATTTCCCCAAACTTCTGTCAACAACCAAGTGTGCGCCCCGGGAGGGAAGGGAAGGAGGAAAGAGGGGGGAGGGGGAGGGAGCAGGAAAACTACTTTTACTCTCCAGGCCCAGAGGAGGGGATTAAACATTCACATTCGTGCGGAAGTTCTCTGCTTGATCAGGACAGAAGTATAATCCAGAAAAGTCTGGATACACCAAAAGAAGGAGTGGGAGGAAAAAAAACCAAAACAAAACACAATAACTTAAAAAAAAAACAAAAAAAAACATAACAAACCAGTTGCCATCAGCCCAAAGTGGTAGTAGCAGCAGCCGGCGCGTGTGATCCACTTACTTGTCCGACTCTTGTGACATGTTTGATCCAATGAACTCGCTCCCCTTTTCCTGGAGCCTCAGCCTCTGGGGAAACTGGACTTTCAAGTCTGTGCAGGTGAAGGTGTGTGAGAGCGCCCGAGATGGCAGAACAAGAGCTACAGGTAATTCTGCTTTTCCGTCCCCCCTCACCACTCTCGCTCGCTCGCTCGCTCGCCCGCCTCGCGCCCTCACCTAGCCGGAAAGGTGGGATAAGGGGGGTGCCCCTCGCATGGGGCCCGAGCTCGGAGGCGGCCGGCTGGCGCGGAGTCCTCCTGGATCGTGGCAGTGGGCAGACACAGAGCCGAAAGTGGCGGACTTGGGCGGCCACAGGTAACTTTCTCGCAAGGAGCTGGATTCTTTCACTACAGGCTACCAGCCCCAGGGACGAGCTGCGCGGTGATTGGCTGCGGGGCTCCCTCAGGTGAGCTGCCATTGGCAGAGGCGCGCTCAGGTAAGGCCTTTCTCCAAGGGCAGGTAATTCACACACAAGTTTCCCTGAGTGGAGCAGCGGTTCGCTGGCAGCTGTGCGGCAGCCTGTGGGAGCCAACGGGCCGTGCTTCGGGGAGACTTCGAACGGCGTCTCCTTTACCCGCCCCCCGAGGTCGGAGCGTGGGGAGGGGGAGGCTGAAGGAAGAAGAGCAAGAAAGGGGGGAGGACACCTACAAATTGTAGGTCGAACAGAAGGACGATCGAGGGTATCCCCAGCCAACCGGAATCAAGGCATTTTGCACCCAAACCAAGAGAGGACTGTCGGACAATGGCAGAAGAGGACGCGGAACTAAAGTGACTGTGCGCAGAAGGGCGAGGAAACGCAGAGGTGGCGGGTCTCTGTTTCGTAACTCCATTTTAACATTCTTAGCCACGACAAACACGTTTATTTCTCCCCCTGTGTCTCGGTGTGTGAGAGCTAGCAGGTAGATCCCAGGCTTGCAAATTAGACGGGCATCTTCGCGGGAACTTGGGCTGGAAGGGAGTGGCGTGGCTTGGATGGGTGGGGAGATCTGGTTGGGGAGCAGCTAAAATGGCCTGCGTGCCTCTCCTCTCTCTTTCTCTCTCTCTGCCTTCTCCGCTCCACAGCCTGGGATTCCAGAGCTGCGAGTTCCCTTCCGAGTCCCTTCCTTTGGGCCGCCATCTGACGTTTCCAGGCCGGCATCGACATTTACATTGTAATTCAATAGAAGCAGCAACTTCAAAAGTGCTTTATCCCTCAGCTTAAATGGTTGCTACGGAAACAATTCAGGGCGAAACTGACTTTTTGGTTGGACATTAGCAAAAGTGTCATTTATAAACGCCGCTACCGAAGGGTGACGGGGAAAGTTCGTCTGAATGTAGCCCACGCGTGTGGATTATGGAATTAAATAAGGAAAGTATTAGGGTTGAACTGTGACCCTCCGTTGTAAATCCTAACCGCTATGCCCAGGGTTATCAGCCGGGTTAGGAATGGTTTGCCTTTGTTATGTGAATGGACTTGATTAGGGCAGGGAGTATCTTTATTCCATCTCTTTTGAGATATAAAAGATTGAAGAACAGCTGGCAGGTGTAGAACCCTGTCCGAGAGAGATGAAAAGTCACCAGCAGTTCAAAAGGGGAAAGCACCTTCCCCTAGTGACTCCCTAGAGAGCCTCCCCTTAATGTTGGCAGCCTTTTAAACTGTGGGGAAATATATCTCTGTTTGTAGAAGTCCCCCCACTTGTGGCATTTCTGTTACAGTAGCACTCATAACCAAGACTGAAGGCATGGGAGACTCACCATATTCAAGTGACTGCTAAAGCCGCCTGCATTGCTAGCACTTCTATGTTGATCTTCGTTGATCAGATAGTTCCTGAGAACTAGGAGGCTTAAGATTTGGTTGACCCGTGGTTTCACTCTCAGCAAATGAATTTCACAATTGTGTTCCTACTTGACAAGATCATGTTTCTTTCTTGCTTGAAATGCTGCCTCATCTTTCCACAGCACTTACTCCAGTGGGGTTGCTGAGGATCCAACTTGGGATTTTCACATTCTTGAAATGTCTTTATTTGACCCGCACTTTGGATTGAGGCGTTTAATCAAGGGTAGAATTCTGACTTGGAATTTTTCACTCATCATTTCATAGAAATCTCTTTTCCGGCCTCCGTCTTGCTGTTGGGAATCTCAAGGCAATACTGATTCCTCTTCCTTTATGACCTCAATCGTTTGCTCTAGGGAACTCTAGGATTGCCTTTATGTCTAGTACGCGTTGTGAAATTTTATAATTACATGTTTCTGTTTGCATCATCTTTTATTCATCTTTGACTCAAATGAGCCTTTCATCGGAAGGCTTGTATCTAGGTTAGGGCAATGGGCTTGGACTTTTTCTTTAAGGTCCTCTCCTTTGGGGAAAGGCAGAAGGCACGGGTGGGTTCAATAATGGAATTCTTGCCTTCCAGGTGGGACACTAGACTTTGCTTCCTGACCAATGCACCTCCTGCAGAGCCTTCTGTCTGTAGTGGAATAGGCTGGCTTCAGCAGAGCCCCCAGACTTAAACCAGCTAGGGAGAAAAGCTTGGCGTTCTGATTCCAAGTATCAGCCGATGCAAACCCTATGGGATCACGGCAATCTCATCTGCAGCTGGTCATGGAGAGATGGCTCAGGCCTGAGCAGTGTATTGATCACTCGTGCAGGGGGGCTGCCCTGTGTTGGGAGCTGTCGCAAAAGCAGCTGACACCAGCAGCAATCCTAGCAGAGTGGCAATCCGGAAAGCTTGGGAACCAATTGGCCCGAGTTCAGATTCTGCTGCAACTTTGTGCCATCGGACCAGTCACTTAATCTTGTTGTGCCTCAGTTTTCTCATCTATAAAATGGGGTAATAATAGTAATTACCTCGCTAATATATTGGAGCCTCTTAGAATGGTGCCAGACACATGGTAAGCCCTCAATTATTACTCACTCTTAATTTGTCTGAAACTACTGGTTGGATGGGGAGTCTCCGAAAGGGACCTGCTCTTATCTTTTCTTTCCTGCTAACTCTTTCTTCGACACTAATTCCATTTGGGGGGAAATCCCTTCCTTTCCACTGGAATTCTTCTTTCAGTTCTTTTCAGAGCTCTTCCATCTTTCTTTTTTTAAAAAAATAGAACTCTAAGATGGTGTCATGTGGGTAATCATTTCTTCTAACTGTCCAGGATATTGACTATAAGGTTTTCTCTTACTTCCTGACTTGTCCCTACTTTCTCTGGCTTCCTTCCCCACCCCTCCCGGCCCTGTGTTTGTTCTTCTCTACTTTCCTCCAATGCCGGCAGCCCTTTGGCTCTCCATTCACACTGAAGTGTGAAGTAATAAGAGCCCTTGTTGGAAGCTCTGTGTAGGGAGGTGGGGGCAGCAGGAGTCTACTGGCTTGCTGGAGGGCTTGCTAACTGTGTTTCCATTCTTCTACTCATCCCAATCTTTTAGCAATTTGTTGAAATACAGCAAATTTTCTGAAATCCAGAGACGGTTTAAGGTGGAAGGTGGCAATCTATAAGGACAAAAACTCACAGTATTCCCACTCAAATAAGAGATAGACCTATCTTCTATGCCTTTTGCTATATATCCTTTGCAATCCATCCCACTTGTCCCTGGAAATTTGTCGTTCTGCATTCTTCGAGGTTGATTTCAGTGGAGTTTTAAGAAAGAGGGAACATAAACAAGAGTAGTCAATCTGTTAGCTTCCATGTAAAGTCCCATTCTAAATCCTCCGAAGCTCTTGCCAACAGGTCCAACTTTGTCTGCGTAAAGGAAACCGGTACCTGTGGGTCCAGCTCCCCTTTCATTGTTCATATGCGAGGAGTCCTCTCTTCCTCTCCTCCTCTCCAACAATTAGCCCCGTCTGCTTTGATTAGATTGTTTGGTGTTCCCTTAATTGGCTAACTACTATGTTAATTGGTTAGATTAGTGAAGGGCAAGGTCAACACACAAGATGTTTAAATTTTCAATCATGAAATTACTTCTAGGACCCAATCATTGGGATTCATTTAGCAGACTTGTAAATTAGTATAATCATTTCTGCCACATTCCTCATGGAAGTATACTGCTCTCTAAGTTTACTTTTTGTACAAACTGCTAAGTTGAGCTTTGGTTTTCAAAGAGGGCTCCTGGATCACTTGGGAACATATTGTCAATAAATACTTATGACCCAACCCAAGACCTACTGACTGAGAAACCTGGAGGCGAAGGTAGCAACCTGTGTTTCTAAAAAGCCCTCAGGTGGTTCCAATGCTCAGAGTTGGAGACCCACAGGAGTGAAGTGTTCTGATGAGAGGAGTAGCACTTTTTAAAAAAAAAATCATTTTATTGGGGGCTCGTATAACTCTTATCATAACCTATACATCCATCCATTGTGTCAAGCACGTTGGTACATTTGTTGTCATCATCATTCTCAAAGCATTTTCTTTCTACTTGAG